GCATTAGTTACCATCATAATTATTTTTGTTGTCATGGTATCCAAAACAAAAAGTTTTCCAGCAGTTTGTGGAGTGCTTTTTCTCTTATTCCACTCGCTATTTTATGAACATAATATTCAAATACTCTCCCACAGATGTAAACCTGTATCATGCATCAAAAATATAAATGAATCTATTTTTAAGAAACATGCATCTTGTCATTCCTACATTTCTTTTCAGAGTATGTTGATTAAGAGAACAGAATAACCTGAAGCCTTACTGCTCCACACAGACTTGAGCTTGGCTTCATAATGGCCTTAACCTACAATGTATTCTCACCCTAAATTCAGAATGGACCACCACCTACTGCTTCCCCAAGACCTACATGGCTAAGAAAAATGGTTCACTCAGACTGCTAAATAGACAATGTCTCAACGTAGAACTCAGTTTCGTTTGTGTACAAAGCAATGTAAAAGCAGTCACAGAAGAGAAGTAGGACCACAGCTTTCTTCTAAAGACAAAGGAACTGTAATTAACAGTAGTCATTTCTTTATTTTAAACAAAGGTTACAAGGGGGTAAGGAAAATTTTACATGGGACCAACCATAGTCATCCTATGCTTTTCTCTCTACACTTACTTTCTCCAATTAAAGACATAAAAATAGGCCGGACACAGTGGCTCACACCTGTAATCCCAGCACTTTGGGAGGCCGAGGTGGGTGGATCACCTTTCAGGAGTTTGAGATCAGCCTGGCCAACATGGTGAAACCCTGTCTCTATTAAAAATACAAAAATTAGCTGGGCATGGCGGTGTGCACCTGTAGTCCCAGCTACTTGGGAGGCTGAGGCAGGAGGATTGCTTGAACCCAGGAGGCGGAGGTTGCAGTGAGCCGAAATTGCACCACTGCACTCCAGCCTGGGTGATAAGCAAAACTCCAACTCAAAAAAAAAAAAAAAAGGACATAAAAATAGTACTTCAAACAGAAGGACAACATTAACTATTAAAATACTCCCACAGGGAAATATATATACATATGTACATATACACACACAAATAAATATGGATCTGCAATAATGTTTTTATCCTCTAGTATATTTAAATACTAAATATATGCTCTATGGTAAACTTAACATTGCTGTCATATTCTAAGGTCTACAGCAATTTCCCAGTAGCATTTAAAAATCTAGGCACAGCCGGGCACGGTGGCTCATGCCTTTAATCCCAGCATTTGGGAGGCCAAGGGGGACGGATCACTTAAGGTCAGGAGTTCGAGACCACCCCTGGCAACATGGCAAGACCCCAGTTCTACCAAAAATTTTTAAAAAATTAGCTGGGCATGGTGGTGTGCACCTGTAATCCCAGCCACTCGGGAGGCTGAGGTGGGAGGATCACTTGAGCCCAGGAGTTCAAGGCTGCAAGTGAGCCATGGTGGCGCCACTGCATTCCAGCCTTGGTGACAGAGTGAGACCCTGTCTCAAAACAGGATTTCACCATGTTGGCCAGGTTGGTCTCGATCTTCTGACCTTGTGATCCACCTGCCTCAGCCTGCCAAAGTGCTGGGATTACAGGTGTGAGCCACCACGCCCAGCCTAGGAATGATTTGTATAGCTATTTGTGTGTTCTTAAGCACATTTATCCTTTCTTGATTTTTTGCATTTTAGATTAATTTTTAGTCAGTTATTTATACTGTGGCCTACATATAATATTGAAAAGATATAGCAGTCTATAAATGTAAATGGAGTATTTACTCCATAGTGTTAAATTAAACCAAGGCTTCTTAACCTGGGTACAGCTGACATGTGAGGCCAGATAATTCCTTGTTCTAAAGGGGCTATCCTGTGCACTGTAGAATTCTCAGCAGCATCCTTGGTCTTTACCTACTGGATGCCGGTAGCACTGCACCCCAAGTTGTGACAACCAAAAATGTGTCCAAACACTACCCAATGTCCCCTAGGGGCACAACTGCACCACTCCCACCCCATGGGAACCACTGAGTTAATCTAATTGGCTCTAGTTGGTGGGTAAGATTATATTCCAGTGTGTTTGCCTGTATTTGCTAATTTTTCCAGAATGGGAATTTTTATTTTTAAAAAAAGGCATCAGAGGAAACAAAAGAAAATGTCAGTAGGTGAAAAAAGGACTCGAACCTGAATTTTTTCAGAAAGTATTTTTTAATTAAAAAAAAAATCACCGCCGACACCACAGACTATTCTCTTCGCAGGTCCCTGTGCAGGTTCCAACCCTAGGGCTCATGAATTCCAATTACTAGGTCAGGATCAGCATTTAAGAAAAGAAAAGTAGAATAGAAATAGCAAGGGGAAAATCCTCAAAATTTTGAAAAGCATACAAAGAAAAAAGGCTCAAAAACACACAAAGCAAAATGATGACAACCTGAGAACCAGTGAATAAGGACACTGGCCAAATTATTTTATTTATTTATTTTTGAGACAGAATCTCACTCTGTCACCCAGGCTGGAGTGCAGTGGCCAGATTTCGGCTCACTGCAGCCTCTGCTTCCCGAATTCAAGCCATTCTTGTGCCTTAGTCCCGCAGGTAGCTGGGACTACAGGTGTGCACCACCACGCCCAGCTAATTTTTGTATTTTTTGTAGAGATGGGGTTTCGCCATGTTGGCCAGATTGGTCTCGAACTCCTGGCCTCGAGTGATCCACCCACCTCAGCCTTCCAAAGTGCTGGGATTACAGGTCTGAGTTTGACTGTGCCCAGCCAAACTGTTTCTTATTAAATGTAAAATGAAAGGCAACATTTGTCCTGCTTTCTGCCCTTCTTTTCAAGCATTTCCATTTCAAGCATTAATGTAATCAAACTTCATTTATCCAGAATGTTATAATAAACCCTGATTGAGTTTACCTATTAAAAAAACTAAAGTACACTGGCAAGAAAAGACTATAGTCTTGTTAACTTTAAACCCAATTTAAAAGAAAGAGTTAGGCTTGAAGGTTTTAACATGAACAGTAGTAATTACAAAGGAGTTACATGAGTTTGTCTTATTTAAGCAAATTCTAAGAGGATTTATATCAAAATGCTTTTTGCTATTAAATGACATTATTGTATATATTTGGAAGCATCTCGTTTTTTAAAACAATTTAAGATATTCTCGAGTTTGACTAGCACACCCAAATATCCCTCCCCTCCCCTCCCCTC